GAGAGAGAGAGAGAGAGAGAGAGAGAGAGGGGTTGACTTTTGAGCAGTCTTCCCACCGGTGTTCTGAGCAGACACTGGGTGTGGACAGCCATGCTCCGTCTCCACTGTGACACTGTGGTCCATGATTCCTGGCTGGAGCTGCCGGGCCTGGGGTGCTCCTGGGGAACTGCTGCCCTTGGCCCATTGCTGTGGTCCTGATGTGCAGCTCAGCGGGCGGCCCATCACCTCTGAAGGTGGCCACATGCCATCTTCTTCCTTCCTGCCCACTGAGGGAGGAAGGGTGATGGGTCCTGACGAAGGGCTTGGGTGGCTGCTTGGGGCAGGGGAGATGTACTGCCCAAAGCATGTGGCCCCGCCTGATGTCCCATGTCCACCTAAGATCTGGCTCCTCGGGACCCCTGTTTGGGAATACTGATGTCCCAAGAATATGTTTTCCCAGAGCCATGTCGCCTGGGTTTGGTCCTCCCAAGAGCCAGTTGGAATAGGGTCCTGCCCCTCCTGCCCTGCGCTGGGCGGTGGGGTCCCATGGCAGTGGTGGGGGTTCCCACTCGGCTTGGGTGTAATGGCGCCTCTGCTTGTAACTAAACTTCACCTCTACTCACCTCTTGGGCTTCCTGTAGGAATGGGAAGAGGTGGGGAGAGCAGCCCCATGGTTGGGGCACATGCTAGGGGCCACGGAGAGAATCAGCCACGAGGGCATAGGAGGAGGTGAAAAATGAAACTGAAAAACAACTGTTTTCTATTTACAAATTTAAATAAACAGAACAGCCTTCCCTGCGGAGCTCGTCTAAGAGCAGCAGCGTCGCTGCTGTGTAGGTCATGAAAAGGTTGGTGTAGAGTTTAAAACTTCCCATTCTGTTAATTTCTTAAAGAACAGTCGTCCAGAGTCTCGACACAAAAGCTCATGATTTAATGAGGAACAGAAACAAAATCTCTGATTGTTGGTGTTTCAAACTTCATTGGCGTCCTCTGGGCACGCACACGTTGATCCTCCGCAGCTTCAATACCCTTTAGCCTTCAATATAAGAGTACGTGCTGAATAGGGAACAATGGCTGGTTGTTATGTTTATTTACCCTTACTACAAGCTGGGTTAACCTCTTCAAAACAGCTTTACTAAGCCCGTTAACCACACCACCCATATGACCTGGAGCAGCATCTCTAATGTGATGCAAATCTTGCAGGGGGCCATAGGCACCAGCCCCGTGGCTTTGTGTCTTCCGAGAGGCTACAAGTTTATGGCTGAGGGAGTCCTGTCCTGGCCATACATTTACAGAGGGGAAATGGCCTCAATGGCGAACAGTTAAACGGGAGAATAAAGGGGAGAATGGATGGTCTTGTGTTTCTGCACATTTATTTTTTAATTGCCGGCAACGGTTGACCCAAAGCATCCAACGCCCAGGACGGGAGCTGTACTGGGAGCAGTTCAGGGTGTGGAGGTTGCATTTGGGGGATGGAGGTTAAAGAAATCAGTTTGAAAGTATTTTTAGAAGGTATCTTACAAGCCAATATAACACTTAATAATGTTTTATCAGATTACCAGTGAAATAGACAGGAACTCTTAATTTTGTTCTTATTCTTTAAAAACCTGGCCCTTCTTAAAATTATTTGTGATGCCGGCTGTAGAGATGAACAACGTGGGAAACCTTTCCCAACATGAGAAGAGTGCAGGCATATGTGCATTTGGGAAAGATCTGTTTCATGAAAGACCTAATTTCCTCTCACTGCCCATCCTTCCCGTGATTTTCTCTCCCTGTGAAATCATAAACCCATATTCGTCATACATTGATAAACAACAATACAATCATAAATTTGGACTCCAAAGGAAGAAAGTCCATTTTTAGAGGCATAGCTGGCCAGTAAGACAACAACGGGAAAAATCGTGATTAACGTGAACTGCAGACCAAGGAAGGTCCAAACCTGGCATGCTTAATGAGGTGCCCTGAGTGGTACGGTGTGTCTTTAAGAAACCCACTGTATATGTTCAGCCCACCTGATGAGAGCTGCATTGAACAGATCATTTTTCCTTGATGGATGTGGCAAGCGTGACAATGTTCTGGGCCTGCTTCAGTAATGGCATGTCGATCATACTCCCTTGGAAAGTAAAGGCTCCCTGGAAAACAGAGAATACAAACTTCCTAAAAGAATGCTCGGAAATTATAGGCTTTCTTTCTGCGCACACTTGTACAAGAACATTTTCGATTCCACCTGAATTACACTGACTTTCCTGCCCAACTTTTGAGAAAGCCAAAGTAAATTGCAGGGGAAAGATTTCTTTCTTTCCTCCTGAAAGGGGGGGGGGACCTTTAGCATTTTAATGGAGAGGAAAAACATACCAGACACAAAGCATGGGAAACTGCTCATTTAACTCTTGAAATCAAGCAGGAAACAACCGTGGAAGGAAAATTTAAATACTTCTTTATATAGCCTGTGAAATATTGCATAGGACTTTAAAAGCTCTATTGATTAGTGTTTCTAAAAAATGATATGATTGAGGGGTGTCGTAAAATGTATGGTGATGACGAAATACAGGATAGCAATGTCCTGAGTACCAAGAGATGAGTCTGTTGGGACACACTTGCAGAACAGTAGGATGACAGGGACGTGAGTCTGTGACAAAGAAATCTCAGGCCTGCTGAATGTTGAGACTGGAAGGCATCTCTGAGATTCCCTGGTATGTGCTCATTTTGCAGGTTTTTTATTGTTCAAGCCTTCTACAAATCCTTGCTCGGTGTTTCATGTGACCTAGGCCCTGTTCTGTGTTGGGAAGGTAGAGCCCAGAGTCATCGAGGGATCCTTCAAGGTGATATGTGACTAGGAAAGTCAGAGCTGTGCCCAGCGCTTGGGTCTCAAGAGTTCCAAACCTTCTCAGAAAAAGAAAAATCAAACAGACAGAGGTGGCGTGTCCAGAACCCACAGTTAATGTCTGGTTGTTTATGTATTTTTAATCATTTCTTTTTGCTACTTGCAATTATAGCCCTTTATGAACTCTTCTTCCTCCTACCTGCTGGCAAGGGTGCTGGTGTGCGTGGAGCAGGTGGTCTTCCCGGACTGGACGTGGGCTGCAGCAACCCTAATCTTTGTTGTTGGTGGTTCATTTGGAGATAGTGCAGCCCATTCTGGAGTTTGCAAGTACAAGTACCACTTATCAGCCAATGCTGTCCTTAACCAGGGCTTCTTGCATGGTGTGCTCGAATCCCACCATGAGGTCACTCAGGGTTCCACATGCATGGGATGGAGGTTAAAAAAGAGAGAAAGAAGGAAAGGAATGTGCAGGAAAGGAATCCTTAGCAATGATTTCAGAATTTATCATTCAATCCAGAGATTTAAGAACCTACTAGAATTGGAATTTCTGCCTTCTCATCTCCAGAACAGTGAACCACAGTCCTGTGTGGCCTAAAATTCTGGAAGTCACTTTGTGACCCTCTTGCTTTTCCTATTTATACCCCCAGGTTGGCCTTTGCATCATTCTGTTCAGCCTGGAGCTAATTCGGGTCATCTCTCTGACCATGATGAATTTATGCATTTGGTCTGAGGAGTTCTGTAGGTTACATTCCATGGAAACCAGGGCATGAGTGACATGCTGTTTTACAAGGCAATCCTCTACTTTTCTTATTGGAGTAAATGAGGAAGACCAAAGGCCTCTTCGTTATCCGCCCACCAAGTGGATTATGGCCCTATAAAGCGGCACATCTGTCCTTCGAAGGCTTAAATAATAGGCTGGAGAGAGAAAATTAGCATAGATGCACATGAAATCCAAAACGATGTGCAGAGAATCAAAATGATGCCTTTGGGTTTATGCCATGTTGCCCGGAACTGCTTTGCGGTCCACATGCACATCAAAGATGAAAAATGCTTCCTGTAGCTTTTCAAGACAGGGAGATCATTTCTTTCTTCTGTGGTGGCAGATTCTGCTTGATTTGCTTTACTAAGATGGAAAACAAAATTGAGCATTTTTGTTCTATGTTTCCTTCATTTGTGCAAATTGGGGATTTTAATGTTAAGAATTAGATTGCCTACTATGAATATTTTTGTGCGTTCACATATCAACCTATAATCTGTTTTTTAATATATGTATCTACATGGGAAATATAAATTGTCTGTTGGTCAGAATTTGGAAAAATTAGTTTTTCAAAAAGCTACTTGGATTTTTTTCAGAGGGGTTGAAATATTCCTTTTTTTTTGGGGGGGGGGTACCAGGATTGAACTCAGGGACACTCAACCACTGAGCCCCAGCCCCAGCCCTATTTTGTATTTTATTTAGCGACAGGGACTCACTCAGTTGCTTAGTGCCTTGCTTTTGCTGAGGCTGGCTTTGAACTTGCCATCCTCCTGCCTCAGCCTCCCCAGTCACTGAGATTACAGGCATGCACCATGGTACCCGGCTGAAATATTCCTTAATAAAGAATTTAGAGAAGTTTCAATTTCACAGCCTGTTAAAATGCAGATTCCAGGGCCCACTCCCACACGGTTTGAAGAAGTCTGGAGTTGGCCAGGAATCCTGATGTTGTCATGCCCATTTACACTTGAGAACCTGTGTTTTCACTGGTTTGCTAGCACCTTGGCCACTGCTGGTGACAGGATAGGCACAGAAATAACAGTATCTTCCTCAGACCCTGGCGTCCTCCATGGGAGACCCCTCCTGAGCCGGAAGTGATGGGGATGGTGAGATGAGGTCAGCGATCCCGCTGTGGGCTCTTCACATCTCTTGCATTTCTGGTATTTAGTACTAGACTTTCTTTCTCCCTCTAGAGTAGGAGTCATTTGCTAAGAGCCACAAATTGATCTAATTCTCTTTAAATTTTGTTGCCGCGGGGATGGAACGCCTCAGGCTTGCTAGACACCTCTGCCCCAACTGATCCACCCCCACCCCCACTCCCAACTCAATTTGTTTTTAGACACCTTCTTTGGGCATTTGGGGTGCATTCTCTGGCACGTTCCAACGATGACGTTGCTGCTGTGACTCGCCCAGAGAGGGATCTCTGTGGCATTCATGGCTCTTGAGCGCAGTTGCTAGATGCTCTCCTTCTAGGGACACCCTCTTCCCAGGCAGTGTTCAGTCCGTTGCTCAGTGACAGTTCCCTGTGAATCCCTAATGCCTTCAGTCACTTTGCTCATCTGGATCTCCCTTGGGATCCTGGTTGTGCAGTCACTGGCTGCAGTCGCTCAGCCCAGCCTGACCTGCTGGAGGTGGCCCTTCTTTGCCAGTAGTCAGCTGCTACTCGATCCTCACGAAGGCAGGGATGGCAGTCCTCAAGGATGCTCAGCATCACGGCATGCTCCCTTCTTTCCTGTGTCGCAACCTTTCACACTGTGGAGTCCTTGGACAAGCCCTCATGAGGCCTTGGTTCCATTGCTATTGGATTGTGATTTGGGGGGTGCACTGGGCATCAACATCAAACCCAGGGTGCTACTGCGCTATATCCTCGGCCACTTATTTTTGAGACAAGTTCTCACTAGATTGTTGAGGCTGGTCTTGAACTTGTGATCCTCCTGCCTCAGCCTCCTGAGTCACTGAGATTACAGGTGTGCACCACCACACCAGGCATGATTTTCATTTTAAGGATGGGTTTGGGTGCCAGGCTCCTAAAGCTCAGTAGGAAGGCTGTTGGCTCCTGGGCTGGCCAACAGAGGTCTCATTGGTAGAAAGCTGAGATGTTTCCTTATGGCGTGTGTGTGTGTGTGTGTGTGTGTGTGTGTGTGTGTGTGTGTGTGTGTGGTGTGTTGCACTTCCCTAATTGGAATCAGGTGGTTATCTTTCTAAAGCAGATCAGATGGGATCATCCATTTGCTTAAGCCCTGTCTCAGTTCATTTTGGATTTATGGAATCATGAGCAGGGACCCCTAGTCCAGCCCTACTCTTTTCTCAGCCTTGCATCCTGCCAGTCTTTTAGGGCCCTGACCCCTCCCCACAAGACACACACCCCTGATGCCACCTCTGGGAAGGTATCCAGGCTCCCTTGGTAGAGGCCACCTCTCCTTCCTTTCCTTGCAGCCTCTGGTGTGGCCCGTCGTACCCTCCTGTAATGGCTCACTCTGCTGGGGGCCCTCGAGGTCAGGGCCAGGGCTCATGTGTCTCTGATGGCCCAAATACAGCACCCAGGACATGCCAAGTGCATAGGAGATGCCCCATAAAGCTGGACTGACAAAGGTGAAGAGGAAGGAAGAGGGAGCCAGGGGAGCAACTTGAACTTGATGGAACATGGAGACTCGGTTCCATGGGGGGTGATTTGGGTCATTTCTCTTTAGTTTTGGACCTTAGGAAGGGACTGTGGTTGTCTGGTCAAAGCTTTGCTGCAGCATGACTCTGCAGGGTCCCCATGGCACCCTGACACACGCAGTAAAGTTCTAACCCAGTGGTCCCAGGGACCTGGGGATCTGCCACCCACCTGGTCAAGTTCTGCAGGACCTGGGACCTATTCTGTGATCCTCAGCCCATGTGCCACCCCCACGTATTTGGAGCCTACTGTGTGCCTGGCATGGCTGGGCACTGGGCTGCTAGAGCAGGGACCAGGGCAGATGGGGTCCTGACCTCGTGGGGCCTCCAGCCTGATGGGGGAAAGACAGTGAGCAAACATTTCTAGAACTGACTGTGTCCCTGCAAATGCTCCAGGAGGAAGGCACAGGGAGCTACGGGCATTTGCAGGGGGTGGGGCTGACCTGGTCAAATGGCCCTTCCTTTGGGAAGCCATGTTTAAGCTGAGATGTGAAGGGTGAGTAGCAGCCTCTCAGGGGAAAGGGGGCAGAGGCAGGAAGGAAGAGATCCGGCCACATGGAGGTTACGAGTGGAGCTTGGCCCTCTTGTGGGGCCCACGCCAGGGGACTGAAGGGAGAGTGACTGAGAGTGTGGATCCACCCCTGGTCCCCATGAGCCTTCTATTTCCTTTCTTATTACTCTCCCCTTATCTGCAAGTGTCTTTCTGTGCCCTTGATCTTTCCTGAGTCTAGTGACATTCACTGGACAGTTGGCTAGCACTTGTTGAGCCTCCAGTAGGGCACAGTGACTGACCTCAAAAACTGTGATGTCAGGTTGGGCTTGGACTTAGTTTCAGTGAGAATGTCACATTGGTGGTGCTTAAGGGCTTAGGAGCCACAGAGAGAAGGTGCTACCCAAATGGGGGCAGTTTGGCCAGGGAAGGGCTTTGAGGAAGACGTACTTCTAAACCTCCCAAGGTTTAGAGGCCAGGGATGGGCAGGAGAGCAGCTCAGGGGTAGGGCACCTCCGTAGCACACGAGGCCCTGGGTTCAGTCCCTGGCACTGCAAAAAAAGAAAAAAATCAGGGGCACCCAGTGAAGGTCTGGAGAGGGGCCTGGGATCCTGGCACTGCCCAGAGAGAAGTGGTGTGGGGTCGACTTTTCTCTTCAGGGGCCCCGTGCCTATGGCCACCAGTGACTCCCTGAACAAGACAAACGAAAAAAGCACAGGACAGAGGCTGGCGTTTTCTGTGGCTGAAGAGGTCGCCTAGGGCCTGGGGAAAGGGGACCTAAGTAGCCTAAATTAAAGTGATTCGGAAGAGACAACATTGTACAATTTTGGTTCTGCTACTCGTTAGCTGGAAATCTCCCCCACGACCAAGCACAGAGAGACTCAGTCTCTTGTCAGAACACAGGGGGCCATTCAAGGCTGGCACTGCCCTGGACCCTCAGGGGAGGACATAGAGGCAATATTTTCTTTTTTTTTTTTAAATTGTAGATGGACACAATACCTTTATTTAATTTATTTATTTTTATGTGGTGCTAAGGATGGAGCCCAGTGCTTCACACATGCAAGGCAAGTGCTCTGCCGCTGAGCCACAGCCCCAGCCCATACATAACATTTTCAAAGACACTGTCTTCCTTGCAGTGGGGAAGGCATGATTATTTCAATTTTGTAGATGCAACAACTTGGGTCCAATATCAGTTAACCTTTTTAAGGAACTTACTAAAAAAAGCTAAAGCTGTACCTCAGATCTCAGTGTCTGCCCATGTTATGGGTGAAAACAGTAGTGCCTCAAATGAATGCAGAAAAAAAAATTTAAAGGTTTACTATGTATCTATTTTATGTACTATATATTTTCAATTTTTATTTTGATGTAATTTGTAAAAAAATACCTGGCATATCTATACTATTATTCAAGAG